CATGTTCTATATGCATGCCTGGGCTTTAGGGGGCTTCCATGCGAAGAAATGTGGTTTGCGAATTTAAGTGTAAACTGTGCGAAAAAACATGGGAGGTACGTAGTCTGTGTTAGGAAGTCATTGCGCCCTACTCGTTTCAGTTGTGATGAACTTCTGTGGGATGCTAAAAGCGAAACAGATAATAAAAACGAACCCTTTTGGCGACCATCTTTTTGACAGAACACGCTGAGATTAAAATCCAAGGGAAATACGAACCCTTTAACCCTTTTGGAGCTCAAAGTTATCCTCAAAGCACGGGACCATCCAGACAGGAAAAAAATGATGAATCTATTTTTTTAAGAAGTTGGCGACCAGACTTTAATGTACAGGACTCATCATGGACGATTATGTGAATGTGACTAGTGTCTTGGTGTGCTATACATGCTGGCTTAAAATCGCTTTCATGTACCAGTGTTACCTGACACTTGATAAACGATGTCTATTTCATTGAAATTGTTTGCATGTAAAAGTGATGCGTGATGCGAGATGCCTGTTTACTTGAAATCGCCTGCGGAAGTAAATGATGGTTCTATGCGTGATGCTTGTTGACTTGAATTCATTTGCATATGCGCATATTTTTCGCGTATTTTAATTATCAGATGTGCGCTGTATCGCAGAAATGACTGACAATTGCTCCTTGTGCAATCCCCTGCATGCTGGTGGTCTGTAAAAACTGTGGCTGGCTGTTTTTGAAACGAAAACTGAAAGGTCGAGCAGAATCGGCAGGCAACTTTGAATTTGCTACCGATGTTCTTTTCGATAAACGCATATAGCCGAAACATCACATTTATCTCTCCATTTTCCTCTTTGTTCTTTGGGCAATAAAGCTATTAATATTGTTTTATCTATATGCATAATTTTCCTCGCAAATGCACTTTATAGTTTGCGAAGAGCTGCCATCATGCCCACAATGATGGTGGCATGCCCTCTACATGTCAGTTTAAACGAAATGTTAAGATGTTGTCCGGTCACTAAGATCAGTCTAAATCAAAGTCATGCCATGACGCCAAGTAGACTTTAGTTGCAACTGCGTTTGGAGCTATGGCCAAATGCCTATCCTGCAAATGAATCGTGTGCAGGGTTGATGTGTGGTCGTGTATGCTACTCCTGCGATGGGACGAGCGTTCATTGCAATTGTCAAAGGGTGGGACCGCCAGCACCGCCTCGCTTGCACAGGATTGTGTCGCCGCTGACTCGCCATGTGGCCGAGTTTCTCTGTTGCCGGCGCAGTATCACCGCCTGCCGCCGTCGGCAGCTGCAAAGCCCGCCCGTACTCACCTGCGAACAAGAAACAAACTCGAATTCAGTTAGTAGCCTGCGCTGGGGAACTCAGTTGAAATCGCCGGCCACGACAGGATCCGATACCTGCCAGTCGTACACGCGATTTCAAACTGCGAAACCAAGGTGATACAGATGACTTTGTGGACTGGAACAGATATTATTTTCGGTTTTATTATTATTTTATTTTCGCATATCAATTTGATATTAATATGCGATATTATTTTTATTTTTATTATTGTTTTCGCGCTTGGGAGTTGGCCTGTCACCGACGCCACTTTTTTTCCTCTCTCCTCTCCTTCTCCCTTCCTTTCCGCCCACTTCCTGTAATCCCTGAGTTCCCCCTCGCCGAACTCGCCGAATGTGCACCAGCCTAACGTGTGACAAAGAAGTCATGAAATAGCACTTTAAGCTACCGTTGTTTTTCGCTGACAGCTGTCATTGCTAATATCGTCGCGACCGTTTGTGTGCATCTGCCGTACACGGCCTGTAGCCTGCATTTTTCTGACGGCTGTTATTGCCTCGAGCTTTGTAAGGTGCTTGAGGCTAATGTCGCAACAATCAGGTTAATCATGAGTCAGAAATACATTTTGCTCATCATGCTTCTTTGTGCTATATTCCGGAGAGTGAGAGACCATAGCAGCAGGGTCGCAGCTGTTGTAAAGTTTATACCCAGTCTCATAAGCTGCACACGTTCTAATAACATCAAATCCCGGACCAAGAAAGTGGTGAAGGCGATGATGAACGCAAAATCACCCTACTCTTCTCGTTTCTGTTCCGAAATGTCAGGACACTGCTTCCATGCGATCTGATGCTTTGAAAGGTCGAAGCAGACCAAGAATTTGCCCACCGTGTATGAACAGTACCATGACAGCATTGGCTGGGGTGGCGACGTCTTCAAGAAGACGCTGTACGTCCTCTACCACACGCTGGAGAGAATGTGCGATGTCTTGATATGTTTTGAGATTCACATTCGTTCCGATACGCCTAAAGTGTACGGTGGCAGTGTGTTCCTAGGAGGTCCGTGGTGCAGGGGATACCCCTGCTCTATGAACAGGAGTGTTTTGTGCCCTGCTCTATGAACAGGAGTGTTTTGTGCCCTGCTCTATGACCAGGAGTGTTTTGTGCCCTGCTCTATGACCAGGAGTGTTTTGTGCCCTGCTCTATAAACAGGAGTGTTTTGTGCCCTGCTCTATGAACAGGAGTGTTTTGTGCCCTGCTCTATGACCAGGAGTGTTTTGTGCCCTGCTCTATGAACAGGAGTGCTTTGTGCCCTGCTCCATGAACAGGAGTGTTTTGTGCCAAGAAAATATTATTTGTGCATGTTGCATTTAGCAATGAAATTCAAACTTGCAGTGCCGAGAGATATCATGTACTTAATCGCCAACGCAGTGTTCCATTTGTCCGCAATCATGCGCCGAAATCAATGAAGCTTATTCTGTAGCCATTGCACGTGACATTTCCGCACCGTTTGTTCGAAATGTTCAGCTTTGGCGCTTCACGAGGAAAGATAGTTGAGACCTTGAAGACGTGCCTGCAACTTAAAAAAACAAAGTTGTCGAGGCCAAAATGAAGGAACGCATGTAATTCAGTGTCACGCTGCTAGTTCTACCCAGCAGCACGACAGCTTCGCGAAATGGGGTCGGCTAGAACATCTCGATGTATTTGGAAATTATTTTACTGTTCTCGTTTGGCGGTGACAGTTTCTTAAGCATTATTGATAATTCTTAAGAAATGCTTAGGCATTTCGATAATTCTTTAATCAACTTTTGGTCATTGCGCAAATTCCAAACACTTTATCTACCTCTTCCGCTTTATCTACCTTTATCTACCTCTTCCTGCTTATGCGCCCACAGCCCAGCCCAAGTTTCTGCAATGGCACGCGGCAGTCGCGTCAGCTGGCATCGCTTTTGTACAAGTGCTGCTGCTTTTGCACCGGTCGGCCAACGCGGCACGGCTGTTCACACCCAGCGTGGTGTTCGTGCTCGGGTTTAGTGACGTCACGTGCGGGCAGCCTATCCTGCCGTTCGATATGCCGATTACGGCAACCTTGTCTACAGGAGTGGATGCGCCATGTCGGCGCGGTTTTGCACGTGTCCAGAGAAGAATACATCGTTTGATTGGTTTAATCGTATGTGCCAACGAACCAAGGACTTGTCACCCAGTAGCCACTGCTGACAGTCTGCTGACAGAACTCTCGGACTGAGTTTTGAAGAGTCTAACACCACGCGAAACGTGAAAACGTCAAAAAAACACACAAAGTTGCTTTGGGACGTGGAAACAGTCACAGTTTTGGGGGAAAACGTGGAATCGATCGCAGTTTCTAAGAAACGTAGAAACAATCGCAGCTTTTTTGGAAGCGTGGAAACGAACGCAGTTCTGCCCGCTGTGCATTCTGGGACCGAAGACATTTAGTTTAACTGCTGCTCCCTGCACGCCAACCGCACCTTTGGTCCGCGATACAAATCAGAGAACAGCAACGGCAGATGACGATGCAGAGGTGTTTCCTGTAGCACTCTGGCCCCTATCAGTCCCTCCGCACCCATGCCTAGGTGCGCTTGCCGGCAGCTGGGGCGCCGCCGGCCTTGAACCGCGCGAGTCTGGGTTCAGTGGATTGAGCGCCGCGAGGTGGCGCAGGCGTCGAGCGGGGGGCGGACCGAGACACGCTGCTCCGTGCGCAGTCTTCTCCCAGGGGCCGCCACCCTGACGGTGGCAGTCGGGGGCTCGCCCCGCGTCCCTGACGTGCAGAAAGGAATCCCTGAAGAAGGAGGCAGACGGCAGTCAAAGGCGATCCTCTCCGCCAGGACAAGCCTAGTCCGGTGAGTCCGGCCAGCCCGGCGGCAGACGCGCGGGGGTCCCAGTCCACCTCGTCACAGCCGTCGCCGCCGCCCATGGACCCGAAGAACTCTCAGCAGTCGCACGTACGGCAGTACGCAGTCGCCGATGGTTTCGGCAACCACCGGCAGTACGGCGAGCGCCGCGCTCCAACCTGCTCCCAGCAGCCGTCGCACAAGACCTGGAGCGCTCGCGGCGCCGGCGATGGCTTCCTGGGAAAGCGAGACTCTGTCGACGGGAAGAAGAGCAAAAAACCGCAAACCCTGACGTTGAACTGTCAGCAGGCGCGAGGCAAGGAGAGTGAGCGACAGAAGGAGATGTGGTCGCCCACCGGAGCGGGCTGGTCGCCCGCGAGTCATGCGAACTCGCGCGATTCTCGCGGACAGAAGCCGGGCACGCCCGGGGTCTCCCCTCGCGGTGGCGGAGGCACGCCCAGGACCGATGCGCAAGGGTTTCGGTTTCCTCAGCCGTGAGCGTGGTGCGACCCTGGTCTCGTGAGGACCGGTGGCCCTGGCCTCGTGAGGACTGAGTGAACTTGGTGGCCATCCACAATCAATGATCGCCCCGTGACCGCAGTGACCCCTCAGTGACCGTTCAGTGACCGTTCAGTGACTGCAGTGACTGCAGGCATCAATGCCAGTACGGCGGCAGCTCCTCCGACTCTGCCGGTCTGCAGTGACGTGCGGCCGTCCAGCAATGGACGCGAAAGAGAGAAAGAGAGAGAGAGAGAGAGAGAGAGAGAGAGAGAGAGAGGAGAGAGAGAGAGAGAGAGAGAGAGAGAGAGAGAGAGAGAGAGAGAGAGAGAGAGAGAGAGGAGAGAGAGAGAGAGAGAGAGAGAGAGAGAGAGAGAGAGAGAGAGAGAGAGAGAGAGAGAGAGAGAGAGAGAGAGAGAGAGCACTAAGATACTTACGTCCTCCATCCGCAGGGGTTCTCCATGTTGCCCACCCGGGGAGGGGGGAGGGGGGCGCCACGTTCTCCACCCGGGGGTAGAGGGGCGCTACGTTCTCCACCTGACATAACGTCGGCCGTCCAACAGCCGACACCCCTCGCGCGGCGCGCAGGGGTCGACGGTGCCCAGCTAAAGGCCGCTGCGTGAAAGAGAATGGACCATAGCTTTGGCGGAGGCTGTATGAGTGTTCTGTTAGTTCCTTCGATGGCCTCGCACGGGCACTGTCTGTTCCCTGTGCAGACTGCAACATGTCGCCTATTGGTATGATCGCATGTCCGCTCTTTGAACCCTTGTTCGCCTGCTTAGCCCGGGATCTGAACAGTAATGAAGAGATGGCACGTGCCTTTATGATGGCGATTTGGATAGTCGTGTTACTGGTGAAGCCAGACATCTTACAGACTTGTAGCTAGTTTCCGGCACTACGTGATAGACGTTCCGTCATTCGAAATATATTCGACATCGCATTTACACACATGTGATATTTTCGGACCGTTATTTCATGATTCACGATGGGAATCCAACACAACAGTGCATACGACGAAACACTTCCGCAGGTATTCCAGATATGATGACGTAATTCCAGCGCAGCTGGCGCGGAGTAGAACGCTGCGGCGTCAGTTTCGGTGTTGGCTGAGGCTAGAGTCCAGCCGCGGCGTTGACTGAGACCGGAGTCCCGTCTCAGTGATGACTGAGACCGGAGTCCCGTCTCAGTGTTGACTGAGACCGGAGTCCCGTCTCAGTGTTGACCGAGACCGGAGTCCCGTCTCAGTGATGACTGAGACCGGAGTCCCGTCTCAGCGATGACTGAGACCGGAGTCCCGTCTCAGTGTTGACTGAGACCGGAGTCCAGTCTCGGTGTTGACTGAGACCGGAGTCCCGTCTCAGTGATGACTGAGACCGGAGTCCCGTCTCAGCGATGACTGAGACCGGGGTCCAGTCTCGGCGTCGGCTGAGACTGAAATCCAGCCTCAGAGAAGTTAGGCCTTTCTCTCGACGCGCTTTGCGAAATCTCTGTATTTACCGTCCGGGTGCATCATCGGGATCACCTGGCAAGCCACACGCAAAATCGTGCAAAATTTCCGCCTTTCACCACGACATTTTTTCCTCCGTGATATTCTCCTCAATTGTGACAGAGGACGGTGCTCCAGATGATTCCGTCTTTGACCCACTTCCGATCTTTCCACGGGATGCGTACCGTGCGCCTACATCGCCGCCGAGTGAGACACGTCCCTGAAGCAAACAGGCCAGGTCAGGGGCAGGGCGGCGCCCAGTGAGCGGTGGTGTGAGCTGCCCAGCACGTAACAACGAGGGTGGGATTTATCTGCTCCTAGATCCCGCGCCCAGCTTCATTAAGCAGGAAGTTATTACTGACCAGGTTTCCCTCCACTGACAAGTTACATGCGCGTAGTAACCGCCAAAGAAATAAATCAACAATAGATCCTAATCTTTCTTTTCTTTTTTTTAACCCCACCTAATCTTCTTTAATTTTCCAGTTGATAACAGCAAGTTATATATCATGCAATTGCAGTAGCACGTTACACCGTTAGCAAAGCCCTTGAAACGTTTGCAGTCGGCGACGGAACTTTATTCTAAAAGAGCTGGTTTATCACGGACCCTCCCCACCTTGGCCCGGCGATCTATTTTGCACACCAAGTGTCTGGCCCCGAACTCTACATACCTCCCCGTGGCGTCCCGCTGCCTGAGCTGGTCCGACCGCTAAGATAGAACTGCGTCTGGGATCCCCAGCCCCTGAGATAGCTGGCTGCTGTGCTGGCACAGCCGCGATAATGGTCTAGCTGGTGTTATGCACAGCTGTGTGCTGGCCCAGCTCCTGTGAGGACCCATCTCCTGTAGTGGCCCAGCCCCCGAAGGATCCACCTTCTGTGATGTTCGAGCCCTTGTGAGAACCCACCTTCTGTGATGTTCGGGCCCCTGTGAGTACCCATCTCCTGTGATGTTCCGGCCCCTGTGAGTACCCATCTCCTGTGATGTTCCGGCCCCTGTGAGTACCCACCTCTAGTAATGCCGAAGTCCCTGTGAGGACCCACCTCCCGTTCTGGCCCAGCCCATGGATGAGGCTGTCTTCACTTATTGCGGACACCCTTCCCTTATTACACCCTTATTACACCCTTATTACACCCTTATTACACCCTTATTGCGGACACCCCGCTTCCAGATTTGTCACACCCTCCCTGGCGAGCGCGGGTGCGATAACTCCCGGGCCAGACGTGACTCCTGAGGGCTAATATCACCTCCTCAGCCGCTGGCCCTTCCCTACAAGGATGTGAGGCAACATGCGTCGCGTTTTACAACTGGTCATCTTTTCCTTAAACCGCGAGATGTTTTACCTGACGCTGATATCGGCGCCGTTCCGCCGATGTGTCCGCTCGCGCACGACGACGACGACGATGAGGATGAGAAGAAGGCCGCCCACCACAGCCAGGCCAACAGCCAGCCCAGTCACGACTGACTGCCTGTCGTCACCTGGTGAATGGCATACGGCGACAATAGGCACCGTTGAAATATTGCAGTAACGGTCATTTTTTGGAGAACGTGGTGAAGAATATCTTGTGAAGATTTTTAGCACGGATGCAATTTCAGTCAAAATTTGGTGTTCGGCGAATTTTGACTGAGTTTCCTCTTTTTTCTTTCAGCAAATTTTGACATAGATGAATAATTGCAGGCCAAATGTACACTGTTGTTTAGAATATCCAGCACGGAAAATTAGTTAGGGAACAAACAGCAAGTTGCTGTTTTTTTCATATGGCCTCAGCAGCAGGATGCCTACAGGAGTTCAAGTCGCAGTGAATAAGGAGTTAGGTATAGAATTGTTCATCGTTGTGGCAGTTGACAACAATAAATATGACCAGCTCTTGGATTTTAAAGGTAGCAGCCAATTTCACTGATTTTAGCATAGACGATAGCAATGTGCCATGTCCGTATCATGTTATGTCCTCTGGATCCTTGCTGAGATGAGGCAAACTTTAGTTCGGGATCAACAAAGTTCAACTAATGTTGCTTGCCCCTCATTTTAACAATATGCAGCGGCCTATTAATTTGCCTGGGATGTGGTATTTCTCATGCACAAATTTCATTTCAGCCATGTGACTCGCTGGCGTAAAATTGCCTGACATGATGGGCGCACGATTCAGATTATGAAATTAACGAAGAAAGTAATTCATACATAGTTCCGTAACTTACCTCGATGCTTTTGATCCTCCCTGGTTTCGACGAATTGGACGCTTTTGGGCGACGCCATCTTTGTGATAGCCCTACGGGGATAAGGAGCTTGTAGCGTCGTTGAAGGTGAAGTTCTTCTCTTAGCATGCGCCAGGTGCGATGAAAATAATAAATTTTGACGTGAAGTAACAGCCACAAAAGGACCAGCCCTCATACCCATTGACATGCGCGCTGTAAAAGGTTGGTCGTGACGGTGAGCATTTTCTTTTCCATCATCAGCATATGATGTCAATGACTAACGCCCAGAATGCCAATGGTTTATATATTGTTTTCATTCATCCACCCTGTACACAGATGACTTAATTGAATCTTGCGCAAAAGACCCGTTTTCTGAGAAACTCATCATCCACAAAAGACAGCACGAAGAATTGCTCCTACCTAATGAATGGTACGCATGTGAGGGAAGGCTACGGATTTCCATCGCTGATTTCCATTTCAAAGACTTAATTACGCAAATGCTATGTAGGAATGACAAGAAAACGGGAAATGCGGTGAGTCGTAGCACTACAGTCTTGTGCCTGCGACCGATCTTCTCCGACAAAGTCATATATATATATATATATATATATATATATATATATATATATATATATATATTTATATACTTATGTATATGCGTGTGTGTGTATGTATGTGTGTGTATACCGTTATTTTTCTAAGAACACGCTACAAACGATTCTAATGTATGTTATAAAAGCGCGTGCAAGATCGTACAACCCTCCCTCAAAGTTAAAGAACAATTTCACTCAATCACAAGTTGCAATATGCATGACGGCAACGTCCGCTAGTGGCGGACGAATTTTGCTAGCATATTACGGCTTCAAGATCATAACGAGGTCCACTTCACCTAGGAATGCTATCAAAATTATCTTGTAAAACTGCGGCATCACAGGCGTGTTAATGTTCTCGCGTAGGAGAAGCGTCGGGTTTGGCGTGAATTTCCCGCCTCTGGATAGATTGGCCTACATGTTGCTGAATGCACGCGTGCAGGCTCCACAGATTAGAGCCCATGCCTGATGCCCCACACGATGCACAGCAGGATGTAAAAAAAAAAAACAATTGACAAGAGTCAGTTCCGAAAGCTTAGCTTAAAGTCACTTCCGTATCCAATCCTTGTGTTCGGAAAAAGTTCACACTGGGGAGAAATTCACCGAAACAATAATGGGATCTAAAAAGGGATGATACATGGGGAAGGGGCTGCTAAACCCAGTATGCACGCATAACTGTAATGGAAAAGTAAGGTCTACAATGCACAGCTAAACACCATGAACAGCAGGGGCGAGATGAAAATATCCGAGGTTCGCTTTCCCATGTTCACGCAAGCGAAGGCAAAAACTGAGACCGGACACACGCCAGATTGTTTGGCGCGCTCTCGCTCACATCTGAGACACCACAGCTGAAGGGAGAAGGGGGGCTGGGGCCTGACGGGGTAGCCTGACCCCCCCCCCCCCCCCCCCCTGGGGTCCCCTGAGGACTCGCCCGGCTGGGAATCTCCAACTGCGCAGCAATCCCCAACATGACGCCCGAGTCTGGACTCACTGCCGAAAGTCGTCAAGGCCGACCGCCTGGTGCAGTCCCCGGCCGTCTCGGCGGATTGCGTAAATATACAGCCGACCTCCGGTGCCAGACGACCCGTGGCGCCCGTCCGTCGTCTGCAAAACCCGCCAGTCGTCAGGGCTCTTGACAGACAGACAGACAGACAGACAGACAGACAGACAGACAGACAGACAGACAGACAGACGACAGACAGACAGACAGACAGACAGACAGACAGACAGACAGACAGGCAGACGGACAGACAGACAGACGGACAGACAGACGGACAGACAGACATACAGACAGACGGACAGACAGACAGACAGACAGACAGACAGACACAGACGGACATACAAAGTGGGTGATCTGTATGCGTGATGCTGCAGGCGTCTGAAGGTGTTACTGGTCGGGGTTCTAGCACCGCCCCACCATGGTGGAAAACGGGACGGCGGAAACTTCTGAAGGCGGAAATCGAGCCCACATCACTCGGTCTCGAACTCAAGGCCAGTACATCCCAGTCACTTGCACCCGCATTGCTTTACTGTTGGACTGGCATATGTATAGATATAGATATAGGTATATATATAGACTCAAAGGTGGGGGCTAGTCATAAAACTAAGGACAGACTCGGTACCAGTCAGCTGCTACTGCGCCCTGCGCAAAAAAAGCGACTAAAATTGCAAATGCTGACGAATTATTTTTGGAAAATCTTGTTAACCATTGGGACCGCCAGTGGAGGCGAACCAGGGGGTGGGGAGCCACGTTAAACGTCTGCGAAGTTTGCCGCAGGTATTGAATGGAAAGAATGGGTTGAAAACTGCGTTTACGTCCCAACTCCACGAAGGAATGAGGCTTCGGCACTACTGGAGAATATTGCACAGCGTGGGGTCACAATTATGTGTTGTTTATTGTTTAAGGCGAAGTAGAGAGTCACTTCGCGCGGAATACACCAAATTCGAGAGGAAAAAAAAGCTTTAGACAATGCGGAATGCAAGGGTTAGTCATGCCGACGTTGTCACGTCACCTGCGCAACGTAGTTCAAGGCTTGAAACTCCAGGGACTGGACGATTTTGTAGCTGCCTGCCTTTCGGATCTCCTCCAGCAGTGACGTCACGGCGGCTGCGTCAGTCAGCTGACGGCTCGTGCGGACAAAGAACAGCTGATTGTCCGCCACTGGCACCGCCTGTTGAACAAGCAGTCGCCGCTGATATCGATCGTGTGTTTCGACTGCGTGCCTGCCTTATCGGTAGACACGGGCAGCGGAGGTGGGAACTTGTTCAGAATTAGTGTGGGTCACAATAGGACGTTTAGTTGATTAATTCCGCATATTGCCCATAGGTGCTGTGTAAAAAAATGTGAGAAAAGCTACGCCCACTGCCCTCCCCCCCCCCCCCCGCCTCCACCATCATAAATAAAAAGCCCCGCCTGTGGTTAATATGATCCGGCGGTGCTGGATATGTTTGGTCGGAATTTAGACAACACTTCGTCATGTAACTTCGGTATTTATGTGACATATCCGACACTAAGCATAGTTCACTTCCAGTGTAATTAAAACCAAATTTGGCATAAAAACAACTCGAATGGCGTTCGAAATGAAAGAAGCATCGATGTTCTTTTTTCACCGCCCTTTGCCTGAGAGCGGTCGAGATCGGTTCACATTGGACCATTTCAGCCAGGTTTTCAGCCATCTTTATCGCCATGGGTCCCTGCTTAGGTTCAGGCTTCTCCTTTGACGCCATTTGATGTGTCCACTTTTGACTGCTGGTGATTTCATATAGCGTAACGCGTTCGAAGCATGGTAATGTTTCGGGCCCAACGTCTGTTACCGCCACCGGTGTTTCCAATACAGATGTTGTAAAAACTCCTCTTGCAAGGGGCTCCAAAGAATCCACCATGTGGCGCCTGACGGTTATGTACACATAATTCCTACATGCTCACAGCTGCGTGCACTCACAAAGTGCTTTAGTTTTTCATCACAATTTTTGCAACGCACACCATACACTCAAATGCATACACTGACACTGCGTGTTGAATGTCATAATTACCATCAGCTCAGCTTTGGCACTGTTTGACGGTGCGTTGCCAAGGTTGTCCTCAGCAACAATCTCCACCACCTGGCGTTCATCCCTGAAAGTATTCATGGCTCAAAATGGCTGCAATCTGCGGATTGAAAGCAATGAAAAAACACACAGAATTGGAGTAGGAGACCAGAGTCAACAGCTGCAAAAACAGTCGAAATTTAGAGCATGGTGTTTCAGGAACAGGTGCCTCTCCAACCAATGAAAACGTTTCAAGCATCAAAGCTTCGAGAGTTTGTAATGAGTTGAATACAACATGTTTTAAAGACTTTTGTTTTTAACTTTTTCAAGGAAGGATCTGAGCGTTGTAAAATGTTGCGTCTTAAATTGTAATACATGTTGACCAGGGGCAACTTTATGGAGACCACAACTCATAACAAATGCACACATAATGACACCCTGGCTGACTAACGACGAACAAATAAAAAAATACACTTGCGTCGAAAAAAATGTAAATAAGCGAACTAAGACTGCCGCCGCGATGTGACGTCAGGCTCAGCTGTTCTGTCTCGAGCAGCTGCCGGTTTTCGAGGTTCTCTCGAACTTCCAACTCGATAGATGCCATCGGAGTGGGAATGCTATCATAATCTTTTCAGAAACTGTCATTTTTACCCACTCCTATCAAGGAATGCGTTTTAACCCGTGCCCGGCCGGGGTTTGAAAGAACTGGGCCCGGCCGGGGTTTGAAACAGCCGGGCCCGGCCGGGGTTTGAAACAACCGGGCCCGGCCGGGGTTTGAAACAACCGTGCCCGGCCGGGGTTTGAAACAGCCGGGCCCGGCCGGGGTTTGAAACAACCGTGCCCGGCAGGGGTTCGAAACAGCCGGGCCCAGCCGGAGTTTGAAACAGCCGGGCACGGCCGGGGTTTGAAACAGCCGGGCCCGGCCGGGGTTTGAAACAACCGGGCCCGGCCGGGCGGGGAAGTTGACTTCCCACCTGGATCTCCAACTTCAAGGCGCCGCACGGGAAAAACAAAGATGCCGTTGTGAATGTCTCGTCAACTCATGAAGAGTGTATGCCAAATTTTGGACCTCAGGTCAAATGTGTGGTCGCCAGGGGTCATGGAAGTCAGCAACGGTGGGTCCGATAGATGCAGTTGATATCTGTTTACACATCAAGGCGGGTGTTAAGGGCATGGAAATATGGGTTAAGACTGTGGGCAGTCCATTCAGACCATTTCTGTTCCGCTCGTGGACTAGGTCAGATCAGGTCATCGTTCAGAATTGCTGTACAAGAAGCCTACGCGAACGATGAGTGAGGTTTCAAAAGGTACGCACAGAGATAGGCCATGAACTGGACAAAGGTCATGTTTTCTGTTGTCCTATGACGGTTGGGCACGTGTAAGTTAGTACTTTCGTTTCATATACAAATGTCAAAAGTACACACAAATGCGTACACTTTTTCATTATTTACGACAAAATAGCAGGATTGGCCTGACGTCAGGTCACTGACACCGCATTTTCCGAAAAACCTGAAATATGAAAACCGCCCTGTCGTCTTCTATTACCATAACAATCTTGAACAATGGCAAGTGAGCCTCAAAAAATGTTTTGGTAGTCAAAGTTTTTTAGAGGCTGATCTCCTTGGCCTAACTAAGTTCGGTGATCTTGGTCGATAAAATTTCAACTTTGCACAAAGGATTCCAAATTGACAAATGGATAGGTGCTGAAAATTTCGTGTTGCTGTGACCGTTCGTCTTTTACCAGTGCTAGATCAGTGTTAGGGGGAAGGGACTTGTTCAACCCCCCCGGCCGGGCGCGTGTCAAAGCCGTCTGGCGTAAACGCCTGTCACTTTTGCCATATTGGACCTTTAGAGAGTCGTCAAACCAAGACACATGTGCGGAAAAAGTCGTCCTCTTCGTTTATGGAAGAATCAGATCGCCACAGTTCACAGAAGCCGACCGTCAATAATGGATCGAAGAAGATTCCCTTCGTGGATGTAAGGAAAAACCCGCTAGATACCTTTCCACGGAGGGGGATGGACACTGATACGCCCAGATCGTCACAAAGGTTAAACGTACGGAGAAAGTGCTGGTTTATTCAAACGCAACTTGCTCAAGATTTTTTCACATTTGGCGCTTCTGGCATAGCTTCTGCGCGAACTGACCAGTATTTCAAAAATAGTTGTGGATTTAATGGAGCACCAACCGTGTGGTACACGTTATGCTGCACGTCATGCTAGTTTATGTAAAAATGACCTCAGCGGTAGCACAGGTTCAGAATCTGTACGCCGTCACCGTCCTGTAGGTTTATTCGTCCTCCAAGTCATCGTTTTAGTATGTGTCGAAATTTGGGGGCCCGACTTGACTGACAGTCAAATGACTGACGACTGGACTTTAAAGATCATTTGGTGCAATTCACAGCCTTGTCGTTCTTCAGACCCAAATCTCTCTAGTACCTGAGCTATACACCCGCGAAGATGTGCAGACGATTTCTGGGAGACTGTTTCAAGGTCACTCAGGGATCCATGACGCCGTAATAACGTAATGAAAATCTTATCACTCCATAAGCCATGCGCTGATCAAGGCAGGATAAACGTGGTTGTTGAGTCGCCAAAATCTAGCGCTCGTAACCCTGATCTCGAGATATGACGGGTGACAATGGGCTCTCAATCAATGTTGTACAAGGCACGATGACGTATGACGTAATCAAACACTGACGTATTGAGGAATATCTTTACTAAGCAGAGAAATTGTGTTGTCTAGATCAGTCTCTTCCACTTAAAAGCACACCAATAGTTATAAGTGAGCTTATTTCATCATGTCTGATGCTTGTTTGAACATTTCCAAATGTGTAGCATTCACTTTGAGCTAAACCGCCCGCGAGGAAGGAAGCAGGGCCGCTCACTGCTTGTCCACCAGGTAGAGCAGCCCACTCGGATCCACGCTGAACGCAGTCGAGTTGAGCGAGTACTTGATGCCGGCGATGCCGTACGATCCAGTGTCATCATCAGTTGCCTACAATGTATTCGGGTGTTAGACGTCCAGCGCTATTAGCAAGCCCTGTCTTGGTACCATTTTAGGCAAACATTAATATGAAGTTAAAGATATAATGACATCGGTCGAGGAAGCATCCAAACAGACCACCAGTGCTTAGTCAACTGTGGTTTTAAAACAAAACATGCTGATATACATATAACACCCCGGAAAAAATCATGAAAGATGGACTTTGGGGAAAACGGTGACTAAATGAGGGCATGTTCCCACGATCCCATTTGAAAGCCGTTTTTACGAAGTCGTGTTGGGCTACAACGTTTCAAGAACTAGCGTACTACAAAAGCGTGCTTATGTGTATCAAGACCTAGCATATCTCTGAAAATGGCGTTCAGGTAGCCAAAGCATGACCTCTTCTAATATAACATGCGTCATCGATAACATTTCCCGTCTCCACATTTATATCCACTGTATCAAACGTTCATAGCCAGCCGAGTAAGACACGGAAGCTTTGTAATCGCCGTCCGCTCCTGGTCGCTCTTCGCCGCGGCCAGCCGGAATGCCACCGTGTGCGCCACTATTGCGCCCGCCTCAAATGACGCAGTGTATCCATAACATGACGTCTTTCGTCACACTATGAGCCTTACGTCACCGATCGAGAAAACTCCGCAAATGACATCATCAGTCGGAGTTTTTCGGCTCCGCGAATGACGTCAGCCGTGACGTTACTTAAAATGGTGTCACCACACCACACACACCACAAACGGCGTCAGTCGTGGCCCAGTGACGTCACGCGTGGGATGCTTACGGTCAGCCGGAGCAGAGGAGCCGGTAAGGTGGCCGTTTCTGCCGAGGGGAACCCCATCACCAAATCGGCGCAGGAATCGCCGTACGGATGGCAGTTCAGAACAGGGGGCGAGTCATTTTCGTCCTGAAATAGAGGTGGTCAGAAGGGAGTTATTCTGGTCCCGAAATAGAGATGGACAGAGGCGAATCATACTCGTCCTGAAATAGAGTTGAGCAATTGAAACAGAGGTGGGAAGTGCTGGACAGGCTAGGAGCTGAAAACGCAGCCTGCGGTTTTGAAGCTGTGGGCAGGAATGCCACTGGTGATTACGCCGGTTGCAGAGAAGCGGATGGCGAAACGACGTGTCTTCGCTCAGTCACACAGGGGTAGCGATATGGCTATGCAAAATGAGTGTGTGTGGGGTGGGGGGAGGGGGGAGGATGATGAGGGAAAATGGTTAAAAGACAACTTCAAAGTACACAAACATGGCTTCCTCTCGGTTTTGATCTAATTACTTCTGGGAGGTCGGGGTTGAAGCTCCCAAACTGAATAGGACACTACACCCGTGCATGATAGCGTGTCCATGTATCAGCGGATTGGTCTGGTTACGCTTATCTTGTGCTGAGTCTGGCTTTGTAACATTGCGAATTAACTATTCGTTTCCTTGGGAATATGACGCACTGAAACCCTTCAAAAACGCTTGGGGGCTTGTTCGGTGGCTCGAGAGGGACTGCAACTAGGGCAGCAGCAGGGACGGCAGGTAGGGTAGCAGGAGGGACTGCAGCCAGGGCGGGAGGAGGGACTGCAGCCAGGGCGGCAGAGAAGCCGGCTCATCGATGACGACCTCTCATGCTCCGATGGAACGTGAGACGCTGTGAGATGTTGCGAGGATTTGCGATGAAGCGGTGAGTACGAAAAGCCGTGTTGGTAGAAACAGGAATACGTCTACACGAATGGTAAAAATGCCCTCTGTCATAATGGAAACAACACTGGCTTCTTAAAGTCTTCTTAAAGTGTTGTTAAAATGCAAGCTTCGTTTCCAAGCTGGTGTTCACAGCATCTGACCATATGGGATAGCCGTAGTCATAAATTTATGCTGCTATCGAAAGTTTCTGCACATGCTTGCTGGCCTGCAAACGATAAACTCATCACCAAACTAAGCACTAACTGTACCGAATTTTTTGAACGGAAAAGGGGGCCGAATCAGTCGACGAAAACACAATATCGACGCGAATTAAAGTTGGAGTATGAGTGATATACCGACGTCAAATCGCTCACGACGGCTCTAAAAAGGCTTGGACGAGCAGGAAGACAACAACTCGCCCTGAATACTTGGAATTGTTTGTGACACACACACACACACACACACACACACACACACACACACACACACACACACACACACACACACACACACACACACACACACACACACACACACACACACACACACACACACACACACACACATATATATATATATATATATATATATATATATATATATATATATATATATATATATATACACGGCATTGTTTGTGACACACACACACACACACACACATATATATATATATATATATATATATATATATATATATATATATATATATATCAGTAGGGATGACTGAATATTAGAAAGGAATTCCTTATATATGCGCCAATTTTATGAAAATATCAGAAATATTTTCTGGTCTAACGACATTGGCTCCTGGGCTCAGTTCATGGAACGCTGTAGAATAGACGAGTGCGATGTAACAACATGCAATGCATGGCACTCCGACGCAACAAAATTCAGACATATGGGCTGACGGTCTGGCATCACAAAGGCCTGAGGAATGTTAACACGCGATCGAGTGAGGGTAAAATTGAACCCGGAGGTTTTCTGGAATAATTCCCAAACGGCAAGGCGTAGCCGCACAAAACTTTGCATAGCTGCAGAAACTAAATAGAAAATGTTCTGATTTAACAAATCGCATGTGCCCTCCAAGGTTGCTGACCTATATCAGGTCAAAGTCAGGTTTTGATTGTCAGTGAAGGGCATTTCTGAGCAATCGTTCAATATGATGCAGCAACGGAATGCTAGACGAAGCCATACACATCTGAGATAGTTTGTTAGGCCATGAACAAATTTAATATATAATTATAACCAATTCCATTGACCAATGATCAGGTGAAGGTTAGAACGAGGTCAAAACTAACCTGTGTGTTACTGGGAGGTTTCGATTTTTGGGGGTAGTATTCTGGTGCTCATTTCGAATTTGTCAATAATAGGGACCTGAACAGACGCGTTGTATTGAGATATTAAAGGCCAAGGTAGGTCACTGGCCTAAAGTAAACCTGGTCAAGATTTTGTGTTAGGAACATACCGCCTAGCGTGGCCCCTGCCACTTATTCGAATGAAAAAAGGTGTGATCTCGTAAATGTTTCGTCACCTTACTCTTATGAAGGTCAAACAAGGTCAATGCCATCATTGACATTTTGCTAAGGACAAGCATCTAGCTTCACGGCGGTTGCATGAAGATGTCTGAGCGCACTTGAGACACAGATGTGGAGTTTCACCTTGTTTGACCCGATTTGACACGAAGGTTACAGCCTAAAAAGCTCAAATTTTGACACAAGTGAGTTCACATGTAGTTCAATTCACCCTGCAAATTTGGCATCTCTGGCTATCTCTGTTTTGAGTTCTCAGGGGGTCAAATTGACCCCCACCCGAGCAAAAGATAGTCAGCCGGCGACGCGGGCGCGTGTTGATGTTTAGTTGTCCGAAATGTGTTTTTTTTTTTAGTTTTGAGTAGGCCGCCAGGTTTATAGCACACGTGCTATTAGCTTTGATTTATACAACCTAATCGGACACGTACCCTGGTGATGTGGGCAAATGAATGAAATCAATTCCTCTGGGCTCATCAATACATTCGGTGGTATCACCTAGAACGATAAAGAAAAAGGGACCTAGGCATTTTTTGTTGTGTGGCTTTGAAGGTTGCCACCATTGGACAGACACGTATTAGATTATATTTAGAACTGTATTGATTGTATGTACTTTATATATGTAAACTGTATTGAGGGCGATAATCCAAACTGCCGAGACACCCACAGCAAAATATTTACAAGAAGTACAAATCCTGATGTACCCGATGCATTGCTGAGCAGAATGAGCATAAAAGACAAGTCACTTGTTTTTAGATGTAATAATGCTCATAGCACCATTCATCACACGTTTTGGTATTGCTCACTCGAATTGTGAAACATAAAACACTGTGAAAATGTAGAACAGCAGTTGAATGAGAGCGGCGGAATGAAAAGACTTTGTAGATTAAACAAAAGGAATGCTTTGATTACATCGAGTAAAAATAAGGCCAGCAAATTCTCTCATGTTCTTCGCCAAGTGTATGACTGGAAATAAAAAATATACATTTAGGCGCTCTTCGGAGGCGATTAACCTCAGATGAAACACTTGAAGAGAAGTACACCATAAGCAGCAAGTGACTTATCAAGCTTTGAGCGGGAACAGAGGCGAACAGGCAGGCATGGCACTGCTGTATGCGTGTGTTTTTAGTGGCACTGCTGCATAAAAATCGTCTAATATGAACAGTCATCGGGTGGGCGTGCTGCTTTCGGCATCGCGTAGCATATGATCGATAAATTTCTCGGCTTTACAAGCAGGGCTTCGCTTTCGACAGGCTTTGTACTGCTTGGATCACTTGCTTGGTTTCTGTTGCGTGGTGATCTCCGAGCTTGTACTTAAATTGTTCGCAATGTGTTCGTTTATGACAGTTGTAGACTTCCGTTGAACTGCTTTGCTAGCTTGCGCACACTGTGTTGGACTTCGTTTTAAATTTCATGATAAATGCAAGCAGTTTATTTTCAGTTTGTGGTTCGTGTCCACGCCTCATTGTTTGAAATATTTACCAAAACAAGTACAGACAAACTGGCATTTCAAGCACTGGTGATTCAAACACATTCATAACAACCCGGGCTACTCCAAACTGATTACCATGATATCCACGATGATTAGAGTTTCGTCGGCTTGTACTACATCTGTGCTGTTAGTAGAGTTCCGTTCAACAGTGCCAGCAGTAACGGCCTGTACCAGCAGCACTACCTGTCGGCAAAATCATGCACCTCAGCTCCAACCCCAGTGCCGACATGTGGGCGTCATAGCTCAAGGTCAGAGCGTTGCTTGACTTTCAACCGCGAAGTTGCCAGTTCGGGACTCGGTAACGACGGTGCTTGCTTCTCGTTACGACTGCTAAGAAAAAGTTCACAGCGATCGCAGAAGTTACATGACTTGCAATTTGATGACAAGTTAACAACGAATTCGTTCGCAGGCATGACGAAGCTGCCAACAATGTGATATCGCATTTGTTATGTATATATGTTCTCACATCGCGTGCGTTTCGCATGAAGTTATTGTCTCAAAATGTCAAACCTAGACGATCATTGAATTGCATACGGTGACGAAGGAAGATGAAGTGATATGATAAGAAGATGAAGATGAAGTGATAAAATGCCAAACCTAGACGATCATTGAATTGCATACGGTGACGAAGGAAGATGAAGTGATATTGTGGTCATATAATATATAAGGAATACAAGGTGGTGATATAAGGTGAAGATAAGGTGGTGGTGAAGGATAAGTGATATAAGGAAGGTGAAGAGATTTACTGGTTTTATGCAATTTTCGTGACATATTGAGAAGAAAGAGGCCGACAGCTAAAAGCACGACCAAAAGGACGCAAATGGCGGTCTGTCTTCGCGCGTCGAAACATAGTCGCGTCATGATTCGTGGTCGTCTAATCACTGTAACGTCGTCGTAAGCAGATATGGTCTGACCCAGTGAAAGCGAGAGGTCGCTCATCGAAAACAGCGTGCTAGCTATTGGCAGTGTGTATTACCCTCTGGTGACGCATTTTGACGGTTTTCTGCATCACTCCTGTGACGTTGTTAAGAACCAGGGTGGCGCCTGGAACAGATGAAATGGTGAACAATAAAACAGTTCAGTAAAATGTCACGCTCATTTCAATAGCGTTGGAAAAGGACACGTGCGCTACCACCAGAACCACACACGCTGCTGCCAAAATCGGACTTATATAGCCGGGCCTACGCAGTCGGAAGGTGAAAGGAATCAGAAGCATCATTCGTTAAAATGTCCCAACTTGAGTGTTTTGAAAGCACGTGCGTGATCGTTTACGTGGACGTGAGTGCAATCGAATGTAAACAAAGCTATATTAAATCACGACGTACAAAGCACGAATCTTGCGGAAATCTTGGAAACGACAGCAGTGCTAACAATCCAAACAGAAATACGCCGATATTTTTATGATTTTTTATCTTTTTTGGAAAGAAGCAAGCAGCTTTCCAAGCAAAAAACGTAATACGCAGCCCTCTGTTACCGAAACAGTTGTCTGCCAAAATTGTCGGTCAAACTACATGTCGTTTTATTTGTGCACCACTTCGCGCAGAATACAATATTCCATCGCAACAATATTCAACGCCCACGCGTTATAGGCCTTTCCGCATGCGCACACTACATCCCATCACTTCTCGAATCTGTGGTCACCTTGCAGACGCAAATTCATAGTTGAAAAAAACGTGGAGACAATGATACTTAACCTACTTGTGTTCCCAGTTCGTCCAAACAGAAATAGCCTGAAGAAATTAGCTCCACCAGAAAAGGAAGAAGCGTTTTTTGACGCTGCGGAAATTTGGATTGCAAAAAGTTTGTTTTTCAAGCACAACAGACGCAGACGGCGGGCGGTATTGACACCACGCATCTTTTGTTCCCTGGTGACCCAAGGAATCACCTGAACGCTAGTACCCTTTTGTGATAAAAGTCTCCCATTGTGCCGGCGTTAATGTTAGAATTCTGTACAAACCTTTCGTCGCTTAAGAAGTGAATAGCTGGAGGAAGGAACAAAGCTGTACAAAGTTAGGGAAGAGAAGTCAGCGTATTACATATTTGGTACGTACGAGTTATTGGATGGTTCAACCATCACTTCCAATAAACTAAGCAAAACCGAGTTGCTTTCATTTTAACTGCTCAAAAGAAGCGATTAAAAACGGCTATGTGGTCGGCTTGCTTCATGAAGCTGCTGCTGCCTCCTGCCGGCTAACTTACTGAACCCGGGGGTGCGGACGTTGTAGCCGATGACGTGCGCCTGCGGCACCGCCACCAGCACCATCAGCACGCCGATATGGCTCTCCGTCGTCTGCACCTGGTACTGCCGCTGGTCAAATGACAGCGGGGTGCATGGCGTCGGCGTCGTCGTCGCCGCGAGGGTCGCGGGTTCGATTCCTGCTGGGAGACGGGCGAGTGTTTTTATTTTTGGCAATCACGCCTGTTTTGTGGCGTTTGTTGAACACTGCCTTGGGCACATGCTATGTCGTCATCCGGGGTCCGCCAAACAGCATCTTTATCTATTACCGCGTTGGCTTCAAGGCTTTGGCGCCACGCGTCTTCTATCCTCACTTTTGTGCGCATTTCATAATTGACCGTAAGGACAACTCGAAACTTCAAGCACGTCCATAAATCACGATCAACCCAGAGATTGCACATATTTTTAGAATACCTAGTCCCTCATATTCATGAAGGTCAGATTATTTCGGAAATAATAGGAGAGCTTGACTATTCTTAGTTGTTCAGAAGGTAATCGGCCCTGCTTATCAAGCGCAAAATTCACAGCTTTAAAAGAATTCGCATCAAATCATCACCGGAGCCCACGCAGCATTCAGCGACTGCGCAAGCTTCCAATAATGCAGTCGAACCGGGCACCTAAAACAACAACGGTCGTCACTTGTGCGGAAGCTGTCTGTTGTATTACACATGCGTAGTTAACCAGCGCCGACTGTGACATATTCGAACAGCTCTCCTATGACGACATAAGCAGTGACAGGTTCGTCACAAAATCCCCCTCCTACATAGCCCGAATCTCACCTCCTGGAGGTCCTCTGTACCGCCTGAGGACATGACATAATAATCCAGCCGTTAATAGTAAGCAACGTTGCCAACATTCTAATGTGGCAATAAGTGGAAAATGATGGCCGTACGAACGGGACGAAAAACAAAATTATCGAAATGTCCATGCGGAATACCAGCAGTTTCCACCGCTTCCACCCGGTTATGTCTTTATCGCTATCTTCTTAAGAGAGATTGCACTACTCTCGCCCGAAATGGAATGTCGCCTGCCCTTATTTTATGACGGGCTTAGCGGGTCTCCATGCATCCCTGCATGACGCATGGAGACCCGCTTAGTCTTATAAATAGTGATGTCAAGGCTTACTTGACTGTTTTAGAAGCTGCTTCCAACGACAGTACAAACTGGCGCAAAATTTGCGGCAAAACATATGATGGCCTGTGCAAAATCAGGGATCATCATAACTGGTAAAATTATATGTAATTCAGTGTTACATGCATTTTAAAAAATTGGAAACGTCACCACACAAAAGAGGCTAGTGCCAGAAAAAAATACGTACGAAAACACTAGGCAAATTCATCAGCTTTCAAAAATTAAACGAAACAGAGCGCCTAGCTAAGACGGTAGTAAAATCCTTATTCTTCGAAGAAAACCAGGAGAATGGAGAAATAAATGGGCTGATACTTCGGCAACATGTCTTCATCGAAACAATAGCAGAAATGATCATCGGCAGGCAATTTGAAATCACTTCTGGTGTTGTTTCGATAAAGGCATGCTGCCGAGATATTAACCCATCTGTATCTCCATTCGCTTGGTTTTTCTTCGAGGAATAATGCTAGTATTAATGTTTCATCTATGTGAATAATGTTCCTCGCAAATGCACTGAACAAACAACGGAACAGAGCACCGTGTAATTACAGCCTTCCTAAAACATGCATACCTTACCTTTCACTTCTTACCTAGCTATCTCACTAGCTTACCGTTCACCTCCTTAAATCATGCAAGCGCTTGCGTTTTTTCAAGCGGCAGGCAATCTCGCAAAAAAGCAAAAAACGTTTTCTTCAATTTCTTTTATAGAGAATCCCTAACCAACGGCAAAAACAGCACCGTAAGGTAATTCTAGCCCCGAGCCGATCTGGACTTACCAGAGACAGCCGCCGACATGACAGTCAGCACTGTAGCTACGAGTCCGTTCATGCTGATCGATCACTCCAAGCGCTGAACGACCGGGGTAGTCCGACTTGGCCTTCCCGAAGGGGCTTACCCCTCGTTCCCTCACGGTCCTACCTCAATCTCCCACTGTCTTCGCTCGCTCCCTCACGGCCCCTCCTCCTTCCCTTACAGTTCACCCTCGTTCCCTCACGGTCCTCCCTTAATCCTTCACCGTCCACCTTCGTTCCCTCACCGCTCGCTCCCGACCCACTACGACGCGCGTTCGCTACAACCCCCAGCGTTACGTTACGCCACACCCCCAGCGCTACGTGACGCTACAACCCCAGCGCTACGTGACGCTACAACCCCAGCGCTACGTCACGCCACAACTCCCAGTGAACTCCCTCCAACTCCCTCCTGGCCCTCCTCCAAATCCCGCCCAAGTCCCGCAGCCGTCTTCCGTCGGAACCCGCCCCGCACCTCACACCCTGATCCTATGACCGCACGAGCCGGACTGGCACGCGCCGAGGACGCCCCATCTTGACGGATCACCCCGTCGTCACGGCGTGCACTCGGCGGTCACATCGACTGGCAGCGTGTCATGGGGCGCCTCAGGGCTTAACGCGATGTCGCGACCTTTACCGACCTGTCGCGCCCCGTCGGCTGCAGCGATTTATGACCGTTTGGCGAGAATTATCGGCTTTGCTGTTATCGTGCCCGAATGAGGGGCCGGTAGCCTTTAACCCCGGTGAGTGGCTGCCGGTGATGCTTCTGGACGGTGGCCGACGGTGGCCGACGGTGACACCTCTGAACGCTGGCCGACGATGACGCCTCTAGACATGGCAGTCGGTGACGCCTTTGAACACTGGCCGACGGTGACGCCTCTAGACGTGGCAGTCGGTGACGCCTCTGAACGGTGGCCGACGGTGACGCCTCTAGACGTGGCAGTCGGTGACACCTCTGAGCGGTGGCCGACGGTAACGCCTCTGAACAGTGGCCGACGGTGACGCCTCTGAACGGTGGCCGACGGTGACGCCTCTAGACGTGGCAGTCGGCGACACCTCTGAACGGTGGCCGACGGTGACGCCTCTAGTCAGTGGCCGACGGTGGCCGACGGTGACGCCTCTAGACGGTGGCCGACAAAGGCTGGCTTTGCTACTGCTGCTTTAAGCTTGCAATAATAACGGAACCGCGTCTTTTACCTCAAACTCCACACAGTGAAAAACTAATTGTCACTTTGGCGGTGAGACTTTCGTTTCGCGCACTACAGCGCTACGCGAATGCTAATAGAATGAACCGTCATCACCTTACTGGCTGGCCCCTGCTGCACTCAAAACGTTACAAAAATGCTCCAGCCAAAATGGCAAACGTCTGGGCCTTATAAGAGGACACACAAGAGGACAATGAGCCCCCTAAGCCCCTACGGAATGAAAGTATTTTAGGTTGGGGCTCGACCCGCGTAGCGCTGTGATGTAGCATACCTGCGTGACCTGTAGGTCACTGGACTTTGGTTTAGATACATACCTTTCCCAAAAGACAAACAGAGTCATTAGCCTCGGGATCGGCTGGTATGACCCCGAGAGGTCACGAAAGGTCAGCTGATTTTCAGCTGTGGCCTCCGTCCAAGATCGCATCAGCCATCTCGAGGCACATAGCGCACCAAGGAGTCGATGTTGGAGGCAGGTGCCGGTTGAATACGACGACGCCCGAGTACGAGGTCAATTTAGGGTCCTCAGAATCTCAAAATATAATTCAGTAGAGATACAGGATTTCTAGGAGAAGTAGATCTATATAGAGAATTAGCTGTGTAAAATTCTGAGGTTTTTAAGTCATGACCTTCAGGTTAGACAGGGTCAAATGATGTCAAAATTCAGATCGGTGACGGAGGTTCCATCAGACCTCATAATGCAATAATTTTTTAGCATAGATACTTCCATTAACGAAAAGTTCACTGGTATTCCCTTCAAATCAGTAGCCGTATTCAAGCTTCAGAGGGTAACGGTAACCAAACCATGCACTACTTTTTTATTTCTGAAGCTCAATAAATACCAAGTATTACGCTATGCGACGCGTTCCTAAAAAAAACAAACGTCTGATCAAGGTAATTCTATATTAATGACTTCTGCTAAACTTAACGAAGTTAAAAACATCCTTGTTGATCACCCTGTGACCAAGAAACGCGAAAAGGGCGTCAAAAACTGCGACTCAAAGCAAGGCCTCTGGTAAAAATGTGGTTTTCACCTCGACCTGACCTTCACACATCACCAAGGCCACTGAAATTAGTTGTTGTCCTAAATGCAATTGTCTAGTTGTCAAAAATTGCCACAAAGATGCATGGCTTTGTCAAACGCTCTAGTGCCGAATAAAATTCGACGATTCCTATGAATTGTCGTCGCCCACAACCGTGCCTGGTTTTGATCTATCACAGGTCGAAGCCTTACGCGGTACACCTAATTTTGTAATGCCAGAAAATCAGGTTTCATTGGCTACAGTTATGTAAAGTTTGGCAAGACTGTGCTGCACTGTTGGCAAGTAATTTTGGAAAGCCCTTCGGGGAGAGGGGTCACCTCACCCATGCGCGTGTTAATATATCATAACAAAACCCGTTGTTTTCGTCACGAAATAAAGAGCAAGAAAATAAAAAAAACATTGTTTTCGTCATCAAATAAAGAACAACGCAACAAAGTGGGTGCGAATCGCACAACAATGTCACTATTTGATTCGTCGTGAAGTCGGCTTCCAGCGATGCCCATCTCACAACCATCTTGGTTTGATTTTGGCCTCGACCTCTCCCGACCTTCGACCTCCTCGCTATACTACAGGTCGATCACTTGATCTTTGATGTGTGGTGGTGGCTGTTTTGTTGGTGACACTTACTGATCTAAACGGCGTTGACGCCTGGAATTGGCTCATGCAACCATGGACGGTGGTCGCAATTGAAAGTAAGCTGATTTTATGACCCCTTAGGGTCAAATTAGCCGATTGCCAACTGAAAATTATAAAGCGCATTTGAGATAGCTTTCAAAGATTATGTGGCTGCTTTAAAAAAAAAATCATGGAGATTCGACATCCGTCTCAACGAACTCTTTTCTGAGGCCAATGCGTTTTCAATCATTGCGGTTTAAGGGAGTGTTCCATATTTATATGGGGTTTGAACTCAAACAGCCATCTTGAAGGCCTTTCGGTGCTGTTCACAATCCTGTCCTGCTCGAGACATAAACCCCTCTGGTTCCTAAGCTACGCGCCCGCTAAAATAGGGAAAGGTATACACGCGCTCGAGCACCATTGAAATCAGTTAATAAATCGGTTGGGGCCAGCGATAAAGCAAAGGCAGCGTGCGCATGATGAGTTCTTGTGGGTATGCTGGACAGCGTTCGGCAAGAGTTCCGCCACTCCGAGCAATCAGGAAACCAATTAAGAGAACGAGAAAGGTCAAACCACCCAGCTAGCCAGCAGACTAACGTCACAGCAAAAGGGAAACCTTCATGGGCGTGGCGGCGTGGCCGCACGCGCGCCTGACCGCGACACGGGAAAGAGGAGGACCACGACGAGCCGCTGCGCCTCCCCGGGGCCGCTTCCAACGGCAAAATCAAGATGGCCTCGACGCAGGTTAGCGGGTGGCCCGTCGCGCCGAAGCGCGTGTTAACGGCCTCGGTCACCATGCCCACCCACGCCGGGTGCGGGTGCCCTGCCGTCGCCCGACCGAATCACTCCTGCCTCTCTTCCACACTAAACCATTTAACACGCAGACCGCTATGTGTATTTACAAAATCACTAAGACATAACGGAACTGTATGAGATGTCACGCCCCCCCCCCCTTTCCCTTAGTTATGGGAGTGGGCTCGAAACACATTGCCCGTCCGGGAGGGCCGCATGACCACTGCCCCCCCCCCCCGCCCTCCCTAACAAGGGAGGGAACAGGGGGCCGTGGCTCGCGCCCGCCCGGTAGGCAGGGGTCAAGGGACACGAGAGTGCCCGCCGCCCGTGGCCCGGTAAGGATGGGACAACAGCCTGTGGACTCCCACGTGCATGTTGTCGCCGGTGCCCCGTTGTCCGCAGGCCAGATATCACCGCCTGGTTATCACTGCCCTTCTCCGCTCCTCGCTCCTTGGAACTCCCCGGGAGACCCTGTCCACTCTGGACTCTCCACCTTCGCTTCCCTCAAGAGGCTCCTCGTCTTTCCTGGTGGACCCTTTCAACTCGGTCGGCCCGCCCTCGTTTTCTTGCGTGGTCCAAACAGAATTGCCGCCTCACCCGCTATGCCCAGCGTGTCGCCGGGCCAGCCTGCGCCGCTTCCAGAGTCCGGCCCCCAACGTGGCCTGGGCCAGATCTCGGGCGTGGCGTCGCTGGCGACGACACAAGGTCCGCTCGCTCTCGCCTCGGGCGGGTCCTGCGCGTCCCCTCTGGCCCAGTTCCCACGCGGCGCGGCGCTTCTGATGCCAGCTGGGGCGACGGCGGCGCCGGCGAGGCGTGGTTCCTGGGGCGAAGCGGCAAACTCCTCACAACATGTTACTTGCACATTCCTGTGCGCATGTTGCGTCGCCGGTCACCTGGCCTCTATGCATCCTTGGCGCGATGGACCACTTTGGCAGGGGGAGCCGACGTCATGGCCGCTCCGGGGGACACTTGGTGTCGCTATGTTGATGCGAGCCGATCGGCTGAAGCGTCGGACGGGTGGTCCGTGTCCAGCTCTCAGGCCGCGCTCGGCCTAATGGTCGTGTTTGGTTAAGCGGGGGAATTTCCGGCCATGGCCGTCCCACGCTCCGCTGGGGAAACCCCACCGATCCCGGACGGGTGGCGCGCAGGGTGGAAAGCAAGACAATGCACGCCTACACGTGCGCATTCAGAAGCGAAGTGAAACATCGCTTCGACGGCAAGGCAGGATCGACGGCACAGCAGTGCTTTTGGGGTAGGAGTGGGTAACAAGGACCATGCTTTCCCCATGTATAGGGCATTTCTAGTTTTTGGTGATGCTTCCTATTGGTGATTCGAGTTCTATATTGAAGGAAAGCCGAGACATACCTTGGAGAATCTAGACATCCCCAAAGAGACACAAAGCAGCAGCCATGCTTATGTGGCGCGATTAGATAGAGAAAATACTTCTAGTCTCTATCTGAAAAGCTGCCAAGCTATTTGCGAAGCTTACGAAGCAAGCGGCCCGCCATAGCGCCTGATCCCTTCTCAAACGCGGCGCCTTCCGGCCGCCACTCAAACGTTATCGATCGACGCGCGCCAGAAGCAGCGCAGAAGCCGGGCTGAGTCCGGTGACAGGTGCGGGTGACGGATTGACAGGTGTGATCGTTCCTCTCGAACGCCCCAGCCGTGAGTCAGGTGGTCCGGCGGTCAGATGGTCCGGTGGTCAGGTGGCCAGGTGGCTGGGCTGCCGCCGGCGACCCCGGGCAGCCCCAGGATAGCCGTTGTGTTCTGTACTTCTGCTGCTGCTCTGTTGTCTTCTGCTCAGGGGGCGATCGTGACAAAGCTGAGGAAGCCGAGCGGCGCCGCCGTGTGTGAGCTCACACTAAAAATCAGTCACAAATCGTCACTTGACGTAGCCCGCCAATTAAGCTTTGATAGCTGTAAAATGATGGTGGTTTGGGTTTTACGGCACGCAGACCACATCGGTCATATGACGCCCATACCGAACTGTGAAATGCGACAACCACTTCATCGCTGATAACCGCTATGGCTGCTAAAGTAAACAGCGCCCGCCAAGCACTCTTCACCGACCTTCGGAACGCTGCCTGCCCCTCCACTTCCTGTCTGCTGTCTGCCCCCCCCCCCCCTCCACTTCCTCTGGTCGGTGCGCAGCTGTCTCATTTCTGTCCGTTGTGCTCTACAAATTACCGCCAAGCATCATTAATGCGGCTTCCATTGTACTCGACATGTTACCGCCAAGCATCCTCCACACGGCTTCCATTGTGCTCTACAAGTTACCGCCAAACATTCTCCATTCAGCTTCCATTGTGCTCTACAAGTTGCCACCAAGCATTCTCCATTCAGCTTCCATTGTGCTCTACAAGTTGCCGCCAAGCATTCTCCATTCAGCTTCCATTGTGCTCTACAAGTTGCCGCCAAGCATTCTCCATTCAGCTTCCATTGTGCTGTACAAGTTGCCGCCAAGCATTCTCCATTCAGCTTCCATTGTGCTCTACAAGTTGCCGCCAAGCATTCTCCATTCAGCTTCCATTGTGCTGTACAAGTTGACGCCAAGCATCCTTCACACGACTTGCATTGTGCTCCACAAGTTACCGCCAACCACGGACCAAACACCCGCGTAGGCGTCGGGCGAGCTCGATACGTAACTAGCCGGAGGCCAAGCTCAGCAGCAGCTGTCCTAAGTGAGGTCATGGCCCCTGGTACCGGTCACCCGTCAGGCGCATGGCTGAATAAGAACAGCTACTGAGCTTTTGAAACAGCGACTTTGGTGCTTCTTGTCCAGGTCAGCAGCGACAGCATAAACCCACGACCCCACCCTCAGTCGACACCACGTCAGTAAAACGCCACGATGCTTAGAGAGTCTATTTTGTTTAGCGATGCACTTTGTGAATAAAATAGGTCGATAAGACACGCAACATCGATACCTCAAAAAGTCTCGTGGGAGGCCAATCTGGCAACCCGTGTCTACCGGTTCACGTGGTCTTCTCACCCACTCCGGCATCGGTAGAAATTCGCGTGGCGGGGGCCGTGGTCTTCCAAGGGTCTTCAAATTTGCCGCAACCACCGTTACGCTCGTGACGTCACCTCCACAGCACCTCCACTACGGGAAACCCACAACGCCAGCACACGCACAGACGTTCATATAAACACCAGCGCGATGGGCCAGCTGTCGCGCCACTTTCGCCGCTCACCAGCGAGACAAACACGGCGCACGCCTCTGCGCAGAACGCCCGGCCTGCGTCCGCCGCGCCGCGCAACAAACAAGCCAACGGGAACCGACCTCTCACGGTAGAAACGCCCCAAAACGGCGACACGCACACTAGACTACGATAGCTGGAGAACCACGGACAAGGTGCGGGGGCGACTACGGCGCAGCTGCGGCGGCAGCAGATCCGTGCCGCGCCGCCGTATACCAACAGGCCGGCAAGGGTGAACAACATGGCAAGTGCCCGCTGGCTCAGACGCCGGCGATACCAGCGGCATCTATGGACGACGAATGAACCTGCGAGAGCACGAACGGCGGAGTATTGAATGTGATGGGCTTATTATTGCCTGGACGCGTTTTAGAAGGTTCGCCTCGCGCCTGCAGTGCCCCGGCGGCGACAGCTTTATACCAAAACACCCAACAGGAACAGCTGAACCGAATTTCCTCCCAACACCGCCGGCGGAAGATAAGGACCAAACGCTCCATGACGCCAAAAGCGCAGGACTCGGCGGCGGCAGCCCTCGGTCGAGTTCGCGCGTGCGCGCCGTAAGCGATGCCGCCTCTCGCGGGCCGCCGCCGTGGTCCGTCCCAGCCAAGACCCTACGCACGCGCGGCTGCTGCCAGCGGCCGCGCCACATCCACCCCACAACACGCCCCGACGACAGCGCACATAATTAGAGGACCACCTAAATAGATCGGACATGTTAGGCACGGTAAAAAGACATTGAATCCACAACACACCGGCGGCCGGGCGCGCCGACCGCCCTGCCATCTAGTGACACGTCGAGAAAACACGTCCGGCGGCGCAGTCTCACCTCGCGGCGGCCAGCGCGCGCCCGACCGGAATACGGGCGCCGCGGAGCCCCGGCGGGGCGGGTCGGGACAAACGAGGGCGAGGCTGGGGCGGACGCCATCTTGGTTTTGATTTGCTGGGGGCGGGCACCGCGCAGGCCTTGACTAGAGAGGGGCCAAGCGCGGCGAGGCGCAAGCTTCTTCTTTCGCCGCGGTACCTCGGGCGGCGGCGCCACCAATCGTAGACCCGGGCGGGAGCGCGGCAGGCAACGAGCAGTCCGCCGAGCTCGACTTGGCCGGCCTAACCTGGGCAATGGTCGCCGGCCGCCGTAACAGCAACCAATCAGCCGGCGGAGAGCTGGCCGGCCAACCGATTGGCAGCCGCACAACCGAATGGGCACCCAATCAACGTCGGAGCCCATCCAGCCGGCCAGACCGCCGCCCGATCAGTCAATCACCAGCCAGACAACCATCCAGCCAGCCAATCAGCAGCCCGACGGCCACCCACGCAGCCAATCAGCGACCGGACCGCCCGCGGCGCCTGCCATTATATATAGAGCTGTATATACCTAGAACGAGCCAGCACGGCGGAGGACATAAAACAATGACATGGAGAAAGATCACGTCTCGGCAGACCCGTCGGCGGCGACGGCGACGGCGACGGCGGCGGCAGCGGAGGCGTCGGCGGCGTCGGCGGCGACGATGCAGGCCTACTTGGCGCCGTTCTGCGAGCGGTGGAAGTGGATGTGCTGCCACCTGCCGTCGTGTCGGTGCCACACCCGCGTCTCCTCCGCCTGCTCGGTGTGCGGTACACCCTGCCTGCGGAGCCGACACCCAAGGTCAGGTCAGATCAGGTCAGGTCAGGTCCGGTCAGGTCAGGTCAGGTCAGCTCAGCTCAGCTCAGGTTGGGTCGGTGCTGAAATGGGGGCATCCAGGTCCGAATGTCACAACTTCGCCTTTCAGGCTAAAGCACATGCTGCAGGGCTGGTCGCTACCGTCTGGGACCTGATCTTGCAGGCGTCAGGCGGCCAAGGTCACGGGTTTCTGACCATAACCTCTGGTCCCCGGCACTCGTGATCGCGGTGTGGGTGGATCAAAATCACGGGCATCAGAGCTGACAGCAACCTTGCCAGGGCGTTCCCTGTCATGGACCTGACAGCGGGCACCGGCGGCTGACTGTGGGACCCGACAGAGGACGTCGGCGGCTGACTGTGGGACCTGACAGCGGGCGCCGGCGGCTGACTGGGGGACCTGACAGCGGGCGCCGGCGGCTGACTGTGGGACCTGACAGAGGACGTCGGCGGCTGACTGTGGGACCTGACAGAGGACGTCGGTGCCTCGCGGTCTGAGCACGGTGTTGCTGATGAGGTCAGATGAGGCCGGGGTATCTCGACATCGCCGCTCTGCCAGCGTGCTGCCGCACTCGACATAACTCACAGGTCAACGCAACACGTTCGGCGGGGGGGGGGGGGGGGAGGGGGTGCAGCGTAAGCGAGCGGGGATGGCGCACGACACACACAACAAGCAAGGATGTACACAGTAACAACACATCGCCGCGAACGGGAAGAACACACGCTTAAACCGAACGCAAAATACATTTCACGACATCAGAAAAGCGTCGGTATCCGTAGATCCGGAGAACAAGTGTCGACATCTCTCACGAACGTCACCAACGCCAACCACCGTCACTAATGTCACCAACGTCACTAATGTCTGGCGATGTCTTCTCTCTGCCCCGACCTCATCTGTCCACGCAATGCGTGTCAGACTATCCATACGCTAACCCCCCCCCCCCCTCCGACCTGTCAACGTAGCTCCAGTCCGCCTGATCTCATCTGTGCATATGCAGCGACAAAACGTCTAGACCCGGCATCTCACCAGTCCATAAACTGCGATACACCGTCCATACCCGGCATCTCACCTGTCAATGTACTGCGATAGCCGGACGTACGCGACGCAGGCTGCCTCGTCGCCCAACAGGTGGACGTGCGGGTTCAGGATGGTCGTGTTGATGGCTTTCCGGAACTTGCCGAGCACTGCTAGGGAGAGGCGAGAGGTGCGAGTAACGAGTGACGCTGCCATCGGAGGGTGGTGACGCTTCCCATCGGAGGTGGTGACACCCCACCGGGGATAGTGACGCCCCCATCGGGGTGGTGAAGCCCGTATCGGAGTGGTGACGTTCCCATCGGGGGTGGCGACGGCCCCCATTGGGGGTGGTAAAACTTCTACCGGGGGTAGTGACGCCCCCATCGGAGTGGTGAAGCCCGCATCGGGGGTGGTGACGCTCCCACCGGGGTGGTGACGCTCCCATTTGGGGTGGTGACGCCCCCATCGGGGGTGGCGATGACCCCCATCGGGGGTGGTAAAGCTCCTACCGGGAGTAGTGACGCCCCCATCGGAGTGGTGAAGCCCGCATCGGGGGTGGTGACGGCCCCCATCGGGGTGGTGAAGCCCGCATCGGGGAAGGTGACGGCTCCCATCGCGGGTGGTGACAGTTCCCACCGGGGGTAGCGGCGCCAATTTGAAACTAATCGAGTCAAACGTATCGACAACTAGCCCTCAAATTAGCACGTAACCTGGGTGGCATAATAGGGAGATAACGGCACAACACACATGGTGATGGTGATGATGGAGGTGATGATGACGAGGCTGATATCTAGATCTTGGCTTTCGGCGCAGCGACCGATCAAAGTTCTCAGGCTCAATTCTCAACGAGATCAATTCATGGCTTTGACACCAGAATGACTACGTATCACGCTTGAAGTAAAGGAAATCAAACTTGTCATGTCGTATATCGGACGCATACTTTTGGAGCTTACTCCGTCGGCGAGGTGAGCATCTGCCACGCAACGATTATCAACCGACCGCTGACCATGATCAAGGCTTACGCGGGATTTTTCACCGCGGCTTAAATATATGGAAGAAGGGCTACTCCAGAGTTCCATCCTATCGCCCGCTTATCATCGCCAGCCGAAACATCCCTAATATCAGCTAATATCGCACGCCAGCCTACATGCCAGTTCGGGGACCGCGGCAACGCGACGTTCAAATGCCCCAGAGCCGTTTGGCCCGAGCAGACCCTACCGTGACTTAGCCGCTGGTAATCCGCAGCGAGCGCTCGCAGCTTCGTCGCCGCGGCGAACAGGTTCCACAGCCAACGCGGGCACAGCAAATACAACACCGGGTGTTTTGCCTTCGGGCGATATTGTACACATTTATCATACAAGGTGGTATTACAACGTGCCCAACGTGTTAACCTGGGCGCGCACAGAAATCGTAGGCACGAGCGAAGGCAGGTCGCACAAGTTGCGCTCCTCACCGTTCCGACCCGCACCAAAGCACGGCCAAACCTCGACATACCGTTGTCAAAGTAAAACTTGTGGAACTCCATGCCCTCCACGAGGTTGCTCAGGGCCTCGGGCTCGAACGAGGTCAGGTGGGGGTCACACAGCTTCCTGTAACGGCGTTAGCGACGGGTCACGCACTCATCCAGCTCACACGGAAATGACGACAGGTCGGTCGCACCCACCCAGGTCACACGGACATGGCACAACGAAGCGACCGGTCTGGACACACGGAACGCCTCGCACGTCGCCTATCGGACTGCGTGGAGCCGCAGTCCGCCTCATCGGTCATTACGGGTCACGACCTCTCCCATCTGCTGAGGCCGCCGACGATAAAACTCCAGCCGCTGCCCGGGCTCAAACACGCGATTCAGCACGAGGTCGCGCGCGGCGAGCGCCTTACCGATTGCGCTCTGCCGTCGCCAAGTTGGGACATCCGGTAGACAAAACAGACGGGTGAAATACGATCTTTACGACAAACCACTGACGATACGACTTACAATCACACGTGATTTACGACGAAAACGTGTAAGCGATACTTTAACCACCTTATTTCCAACTTTGGAAAATGTAGCCTCCCGCCGAGAAAAGTTTTGGCTACCAGCCTGTACGGGCGGCACTCACGTGTATGTCTCGTGGTCGCCGGTGGTGATAGGCGGCGCTCACGTGTATGTCTCGCAGTCGCCGGTGGTGATGGGCGGCACTCACGTGTATGTCTCGTAGTCGCCGGTGGTGATGGGCGGCACTCACGTGTATGTCCCGTAGTCGCCAGTGGTGATGGGCGGCACTCACGTGTATGTCTCGTAGTCGCCAGCGGTAATCGCCTCCACCAGCTGCTCGGTCAGCTTCACGATCTCCTGCTTCCGCGCTGCAAGACACGCCCAACGTCTGTTAGCCTTCAGCACGGAGCCGTCGCCCACGCCAGTCTGAACACTGCGAGTCCTACAGAGCCCTCTCCAGCGCGCTGCGAGAGCGTACGTCATGATTAACATTGTGGCGCAGCTATGTGTTACACCATGGCGCATATTCCCTTCGGCTTAAGTCTTCTTGCGCCACAGCAAAGAAGCGTTAGCGTACTTCGCGTTGGCTCGGAGTAACTCCATTCAAAAGTAAACAGCAAGCAGAAGGCTCCGCCAGCACCTGGCGCACTCCTGCCTCGTCGCTCGTACCTCGCTTTCACGCCAGCGATCCACGTTTGTGGGCGCAATCAGCGCGAGCGTCTCGCACCGACCACTCGACGCCGCCGAGCCAGGTGCGGCCCGGTGCCGACTACCGTGCGTGTGCGTGAGTGTGCGTGCGCGTAAGATGTGTGTGTGGGGCGGTCCGGGGCACCGCTCTACGCGCCGGAGCCCCGCCTACCGTTGCCGTGCGGTGCCAGGACAGGGGGGGGGGGGGGGGATGAAGGCAGCGGGCTGTGCGGGCACGCGGCGGCGCACCAGAAGGCGCCACGATCGCACGCCTGCGCAGGCACTGGTCGGACCAGGCGCGACGCGCGGCAGCGACCGGCGCTGAAGGTGGAGACCGCTTCAGCAATGGACCGAGGCTCATGGTCCGTTGCACGCGCTGTCCCGTCACTGGCCGCTGACCTGTCCCCACGCTATCGAGCACGCAACGGGCCCTTTGGAACATACAGCGGGCGCTGTCCTTAATGAATGCAATGTACGTGAATGAAGCTTTGGCGAGTAGCGCCATGTAATAAATACATCGTATCGTCTATTGACAGTTGGCAGCTGAAAGATAGCTCTGGCCACGTCTGACATGACAAGGGCGCGGTCATAATTCTCTTGACGCAGTGCTCCGCAGGTTTTTGTTTTCCGGAACTTGCTGAGCACCCCGACCACTGCCAAACGTTCTCTGACAGCGCCGGCGACCAGCATCCCCGAAGCTGGCGGAGCTGCGAGCTCAACAGCGTACGGAGCTGCGTACGGAGCTGCGCACGGAGCTGCACACGGAGATGCGCACGGAGATGCGTACGGAGCTGCGCACGAGCTGGGTACGGAGCTGCGCACGGAGATGCGCAAGGAGCTGCGCACGGAGCTGGGTACGGAGCTGCGCACGGAGCTGCGTACGGAGCTGAGCACGGAGCTGCGTACGGAGCTGCACACGGAGATGCGCATGGAGTTGCGTACGGAGCTGCGTACGCATCGAGCCGAGCGCAGTCGATTCAAAGTCCGGCCTGCCCGCGGCCCCCCAGCCGAGTCGAGCGGCGCTGGGACTCGAGAGGCCTGATGGCAGGTGAGGTAACGGAGGATAACTCCCGCCTCAAGCCACCGCGGCTGCGTGGTGGGGTTGGTTCGAGGCGAAGCCGTGAATCGTCCATTCGCGCAGCCTCACTGACAGACGCGTAGTCCCAGAGCAGAAAAGACGCGGCTTTACATGGTAGTTATCCAGTGCACTTTATATATATATATATATATATATATGTATATATATATATATATTCCTTTATATTCCTTTCGGCGAGTGACGCGCGACTACTACGTGCATGAAAATCCTGCGGCATGTATGTAAAATACGCAATCGAGATGTCTGGCCACTGTATCTGTTACAGACGCCGAGATCCAAGTCCGGATAATCTGGGCCAGGTTTCACCGGTATGATCACGTGACCTCCAATGCTCACTCGCCGCAGCCTATCTATATACAGGGAGTCACCAAACCTGTCTGGAGAGCTACCTACCCGAGACTACGTCCTTAAGGTGGCGCATCTACATTAACCGCTCTAACGCCACACGTCGGGGCACGAACGCACCCCTCCCCTCCCTCTAAGAGCGAGTCTACAGGTCGCCTAACAAAACGTAAAAAAAACATGGTATCCTCCACTTCTCTCCCAACATCCACCAACAGGGGGATGCATCGACACCAACCCCCACTTCAACGTCTAGAGGAGACTACGTTCGTTCGTACGTTCTACGTACGTTCAACGTTCGGACCCTATCCGTTGCCCACGGACAGCTTACCATGTCACTGCCAGCCTCCCGTCTCGCCCGTTGGCGATCCTGGCGCGGTGGAAGCATGTGCTACGTGCCAGTCAAGCTCCTCGCCCGAAACGCCTTTCGCCGTTTGGACATTTCGACTCTTTACGGACCACTCAAGCTACCGACGCAGTTCTACGACATCAGCCACGGAGGCTCTCCCCCAACACCTTCTCTAATTCCACGTTCCCTCCATGCCCGCAGACGTGCGTCCTCATGGACTCATCACTACGGATAAACAGTTCAGCAACAACGACAGGACGGCTACAGACAGAAGCGCCAGGCGGCGCGCGCGCGGCCATCATGGCGCTCGCCGGCGCGCGCGCGGCGACCATGGCGCTCGGCGCGACAGCCGACCTCTCGACCCCGTCCGCCGGCTACAGCCGCAGCCAGCAGCACTCTCTGCCGCGATAGCCGGCATCCGCCGCCGCGCCCCAGCCGTCGCGTGGCGACCCTTCATCTCTGGGTACGGTCGCACCCGGTCAGGCCTATCCCGCTCCCGGCCTTGAACTGATAGCCAGGCATGGCCAGCGGAGGCGGAGGCCAAACAACGAACGGGGAGGTCACACCGGCTGAGTCTGTTCGTGTCGAACCGGCCCGCCGTGGCAGCGCCGCGATGCGCAGTACGGGTGGGTGAACTCCATGTCGCCTGCCACTTGCCGTTCCGCAATGTCGCTTGGTTAAAGCGTGGTCTGCTGTCGCCGGTCATCAAAGCGGTGCCATCAACTGAACACCGGTAAAAGGCACCGACACTACCATCGGCTGTCATAGCAGCAAGTCTTTCCTCGCTTTGGTTTAGTCCTCGAGCACCAGAAGCTGCATATGCTCACCCTCTTCTTCGGGGTCCAGAGAGCTGCTACCGCGTGCAGAACCATCTAGCGGTGACACAGGAACACAACATGCAGAGTTAATAGATAGGTGACGCTAGTGGCGCAGACTTGTAAAGCGGCTCAGCAAACGAACAGCACACAGCAAACGGCCGCTTCACGCCAGTCAGGCATCCGAGCAAGAGTGGTAGCTTTATGAAGTATCAAAGCGATGCATACAAGTCGGCAAAGTGGCATACCAGAAAGCGAAATAAACAGGCGGTAATAAAGCAAAGTACAGCGAAAATGAAAATGATGTTGTCTTTTAACGAGCAATCCTTAATGACGAAAACACGTCATTCAATGATGAGCAAGGAAGGATGTCTGAAAAACCTGCCTTACGCGTAAAATATCGGACTATACACCGATATGTCAAAGTGACTATTTCATTAACTGACTATCTGAAATGAAATGCGTCAAAAGAAATGACATACAAAACAAGAGACCAACAAATAAACGGTGTCTGTCAATCCGGTGATGATGGTTCAATAGCTTCTAGGACAGACCTGAAGGCCATGGGAGGGACGGACGTTAGGACGCGGCGCCAGGACAGCCGGCGGGGAGACGAACTTCAACCAAAACACCGGCGCCCCGGCTGCAGAACGCAAACGCCTGTAGACCCGCCTCGTAACCCGCCAGGTCAGCAAAGATCTGAACGCGTCATCGCACAAGCGCGCAAAAACAACCAAACGGTCACAACCACACGACCAAAACCCTTCCACATGCGCGCGCTCTGTCGCCAGACGCTGCAAGCGCCCCCCGAAGCCGTCCGAGGGTGGGGCGGGGGCGTGGAGAGGGCGCCCCCGCCGACGCCGCCGCTCAGCAGCGGACATGCCTGCCGCCGGCGCACGCCGCAACCGTCACAACCACCACAACCACCACGACAACCACAGCAACGCACGCAGCCGGCAGGCAGTCTCCAGCGCAGGCGGCGGCCGGGCTGAAACGAAGCCGGCTTCGGCCCGGTCGGCGTTAGCACTAGCGGACGTTAGCGGACGTCACTAACCGTTAACAATCACCGGACATCCGCCAACGCCGGCAGAGACGCGGCCGTCACAGACAAACGCCGACCCCGCGCTGCTACCAGTGACGTCACGTGCGACTGAGACATCACAGCAGCCTGCACGGGCCCCACGCTGTCGCCGGCGCTTGACGCGCGGCTCGCAAGCGTGCCCGAGGTCGGCGTTTGTCTATGAAACCGTCGTCCGGACCGCTGACGTCACTGGTGTCGCGGGCGACAGTGACGTCAGCGAACGCCAGCGACGGGAGCATGCGAACGGCGCAGTCACCGGCGCCGACCGACTCACCTGTGGCGGCGCGCCGCCGGCTGGCCGGCAGCTCGGCGGCCGGGCTCGGGCTCACGGCGATGCTTACCACCGTCCGGGACATGGCGTCCGGCCGCCGACCGGCGCGAGAGCGTGTGAGCGCGCGCGCGTGCGTATGTCCGTGACAGTGTGTGGCCTACGCCGGCGCCGGTCTACCAGCGGCGTGGGTCTGAGTGTGTGTGCGCGTTGGAATCGGCTTTACGTGACGCGACGTCCTACACCGGGATGGCCGCTGTCCTCGCAGCTGAGCCTCAACCCGTCTCCGACAGCTGGCCCTCCCGACCCGTCTCCAACGGGAGCGACGACACCCGGAGATCACACCCAGCCAACCTCGGCAGGCCTCGCGTCCACAGTTTCGCCTCGCCACCGCCGCGAGTACGCACGCACCAGCGGCACCAGCGACACCACCGCAGCACCCGGGCCGGCCGCGCACCACTCGGGCGTTGCCGCACCGCACGCCCCCGCGGCACGGCCTTGACTCCGGTGCGCGGCGGCCGTCTCCGCGGGCGACAGGGCGCCCTCTGGCGGCCGGCCGGCCGGCGCGCGGCCGTCACTGGCCGGCCGCCGCCTCCCACCCGATAGCCCTGCCGCCGGGTCACGGCCGCACTCCTCCAAAACACGGCTGGCGGCCGCCGTCTGCAGCCGCGCGTCTTCCCCGCGGCGGTCGCGCCGACCTGGCCCGGCCCGGCCCGGCCCGGACTCGTCCCGGCCTCCGCGTCAGCGGCCGACCTCATGACGTCACCCTTCCGGCGTCTATTTGAAGGGGTCGCGACGACCGGCGTCGCCGCGGCCGCTTCCCCCCCCCCTTCCCCCCTCCCCCCTCCCACGGCACAGAGCTCGTTCGCCGACACGAGCGGCACAGGACGAGAACGAGGCCGGGCGGTGCGTCCGCGTCCTCTCCCGACCCTCGGACCCTCCTCAGGACGAACGTCCGGGCGCGCGCCGCTCGTGGAGCGGTTGATAACAGGATCACTCCACAGGGCAATCTCTGTCGTCCCAGCGTCGCCAAATCGGCGACGACTGCGAGGGGCTGCGAGGTGAGGTGTTCGGAACATTTTGCGGTGGCGCGATGCTCCTCGCGATTCCGCACCGATGTCCAGACCGGTTGTGACTGAGGAACGGACGAGCATCGCTGAAGACAGCAAAACACCCACTTCTTACAAACAAGTCTCGCCACGCGTCCATTCCGAAACTTTGCGGAGAAAAGCAATGCGTGGTAATTAATACGACGCAATATAAAGTGATAAGAAGCAGCACAAAATATGTATCGGTGACGTCTGCGGCGGTAACAAATGCAGCCCGGGGCCTCTGCGCACACTGGGAAAGGCAGCGGGGTCCACGCGGTCAGCTGACTAACACCAACTGACCGTGGCTCCACCTGCATCACCTGGCGCCTCGACCGGGAGATACTCTCGCGCAAGTGGGGGCGGGGGGGGGGGGGCGGGGGGGGGGGGGGCGGAGTGTCCGAGTTTGTTGAGCTTGGCGACACGCTCATGGGTCTCGTAAGGCACGAAGCATCTTAGTCCACAGCCGCCCAGGGTCACAAGGTCACCATATCCGACGCGCCGCTACGTCAGGGACCGGACTGCGAAAAACCGGATAAAATGACCTGGGGTTCGACTCCCGCCGCAGGGAGTTTTTCCGGCGCCGTCTCAGCAGTACGTGGCAGCGTCAGCAGCCACGGGCGTCGATCTCAGCCCAATCAGCGGGGCTCGTGAATATCCCCAGGGTCCAGACCGATCACATTGCGAAGCCCACGACCAATGTCATCGACTGAGCCCAAGCGCCGCGCCAAACCTGAAGGAGGCACACGGAGCGTCTCCAGAGCTGCGAAGTAACACCTCTACCACTCTCCCTCCACGGTGGTCATTGCCCTCGCCCCCCATACACAGACCCTGTCTGTTTATCTCCCGGTCGTTGATCACGAGAGCGCCCGGCACCGTTCCTGCTCCGTTCGCCCTCCGCGGCGCGCGTGACGGCTGCCGCAGAGCGCCGGCCCGTTGTGTCGGCTCCCGCGCCGTCACGGCCGTCACGCCGTGACACCAGAGAACACGCAACACGCCGGCCAGCAGACCCGAGCCCGGCCCGCGACCCTCGGCGGCCCAGTTCGGGGGAGGACCACAGACAGCGGGCTGAGGGGTGGGGATGGGTTATGTCGTCCGGGAGGTCGACTGCTGACGTCGGCGGTAATCCTCGCCGGCATTTCCGGCAGCCCGCTATGGACAGCCAAACCGCCGGCCCGTCCAGCTCCGGCCGGAGGACCGTCCGCCGGTCCACCTCCGGTCTGAGGACCGTCCGCCGGTCCAGCTCCGGCCAGAGGACCGTCCGCCGGTCCAGCTCCGGTCTGAGGACCGTCCACCGGTCCAGCTCCGGTCTGAGGACCGCCCGCCGGTACAGCTCCGACCAGAGGACCGCCGGCCGGTCTAGCTCCGATCAGAGGATCGCCGGCCGGTCCGGCTCCGGCCAGAGGGCCGCCCGCTGGTACAGCTCCGGGCAGAGGACCGCTACGCGATGATCGGCGGCCGGCCGACGCCAGTATGGACGTCAGACCCGGGGGAGAGTGCACCACACGCATGGCTTACGCTGAGACGTCCGCCTATGATTTGGTGAGATTTCGTCGAGGCGATACGCCTCGAACGCGACGCACGGAACGTAACATGGAACGCACCGACTGCACGAAAAGAAACACACGTCGTTGCGAACCCTCCCCGAAACTCCTGAGATCGAGGCGGCCACATGGGAGCGGGAGCCCGGAGCCAGGCTCACGGGAGCTCACGGGAGCCAGGAACCGTGCCGCGACAGGACTGCGGAGATTGCGCCGTTTTGTCGGCCACCTGCGGGAACTCGACTGTTCTGTATACGGTGTGCGTAAGCGCCACTTATCGCTGGCCGCGTGAAAGGCTGCAGGGTTCGGTGATGTGATGGCTGGGGCCTTCAACCAAGTTCAGCATATCACTACTAGTTAACTTACTATTTACTTACTTACGACCTACTACTTCAGCATACTAAGGTCACTGTGCGCCCATAGAACAGAGTTCGCACCCGTCGTTTACTTTTGCACCACAATGAAGAGGCGACTTTACACACATTTTTCGGGTAGTTCATCGACGCCTGGAACTTTGATCATTTGGGTCGCCGCACCCCGTTGGAACCCCGCTGACCGAAATGTTTCCGCGGCGGGAATCAAACCCGCACCCTCCCTGTCCCGTGACAGCCGCTGGTGCCGCCCGGGCTGAGAACTGGACACCAACGCCTGCTCCGCGTTGGAACTGTACCGGCTTCCCTGGCACGCGGCGCACAAAACGGCCTGCCAGCGAAACCGTCCAGGAATGCCCGACCAGCGTCGGTGTCGGCGTGGAATGCGCCCCGTTCGCCGGCTCCGTACCTGTGCGGGCGACGTCAGCTCCACGGACCGACGAGTGGGGGGATGGGGCTGGCCTGAGCTCACGGCGTGAGCTCACGGCGAGGCGCACCTCTGTGTTTCGCCCCCGCTTTCTGGACGCGTAGGCCGCTTAGGTCACCCTCCATTCCCGCTGCACAGCACGGCAGGGACTGCAACGTTCATGCGGTGGCGCGTCCCTGCTCCCCCTCCCCCTACCCCGCTCCGTAAGCCGGCCGCCGTGCTGCAATGCAAGGACACGACAGCGAGGATAGGGGGGAGGGGGGGGGGACGCCGTCTCCCGC